TGAAAGGAAAATATTACCACCCGCATTTTTTGAATTGGCCCAGGAATTTAACTTAAAAGATACATGGAGAGAAATTAACCCCCCAAAAAAGCAATATACCTTCTTCTCTAACCCCCCAAAATCATGGTCAAGGATAGACATGGCGTGGATAGACCCAGAAACAGGGAAAGACCTTGCGGAAATAGAAATTGAAGCCAACTCCGGGGCAGACCACAATCCATTAAAAATTAGTTGGAAGGGAGAAATCAGGAAGAGAGGGAGATGGACCATGAACCAAAGGATAGTGAAAGAGAAGAATTTTATTCAATACTCAAAAAAAGAATTAGGCCTGTTTTTAAAAGAAAATTGCAATGAAGAAACTAAACTTATGGGATACAACAAAAGTTTATATAAGAGGTTTATTGATAGCATACACAAAAAGGAAAAACAGAAATAAAAAGTAACAACTGGCAGAGCTCCAAGGAAAATTAGAAAAAGCAGACTCTAAATTACAGAAAGAACCCCAAAACAAAGAAATCAAAGTGGAAAAAGAGTTAATTAAACACAAATTACAATTAATAACCCAAGAAGAAGTAGCACAAAAAATTAGAGCAACTAAACAAAATTACTTTGAAAATGCCAATAAGCCCGGAAGATGGTTGGCTTACAAATTAAAAAAAGGAAAGGAAAAGAAATTAATAAAACAATTAGAGGATGAGGATGGAATGGTGCATCTACAGGAAGAAAAAAAGAAAAGTATAGCAGTAAACTATTTTCAAAAACTATGCAGTTCAGAAAAAATTGAAGAGAATATTCAGAGATACCTTCAAAAAAGGAATCTTCCCAGAATACCAGGTATAACAAAAGAAATATTAAACGAGGAAATAACGAAACTGGAGATAGAAAAAGCAATTCAAAAGCAAAAAAATAATAAGACTCCAGGCCCAGATGGAATTCCCGCTGAATTTTATAAAACATTTCAAGAGTCATTAGAACAACTGCTATTAGAAACATTTAATGAAGTACTGAAAAAGGCCAAGATACCAGAATCCCGGAGGGAATCATTAATAACTCTCATCCCCAAAAACAATAGTGAACAACAGAAGATACAGAATTATCGGCCAGTCTCGTTGCTAAATGCTGACTATAAAATATTTATGGCCATAATAGCGGATAGAATTAAAAATATATTGAACAAAATTATACATTCGGACCAAAATGGATTCAAACTCAACAGATATATAAAAAACAATATAAGAATTATCATCAATGTATTAGAATATTACGAAGCTCACCCCGAAAAACAGGTAGCTGTGGTTTTCTTGGATGCACAAAAAGCTTTAGACAACTTAAACTGGGACTTTATGATAAACCAATTAACAAGAATGAATTTTGGAGAAAAATTTATAGACACGATTAGAGCCACATACAGTACGCTATACAAAGGGCAAAGATAATAATCAATGGGAAACAAACAGAAAGTTTTGAAATAACTAAAGGAGTAAGGCAGGGCTCCCACTGTCTCCTCTGTTGCTCATTCTGTCTGTGGAGACATTAATGTCCCAAATTAGAGATAATTAGGAAATAAAGGGATTAAAAATTAAGTCACAAGAATATAAGGTCCAAGCATTCGCAGATGATCTGGCATTTATTGAGGAACCCTTAGAATCTGGACCTATTTTACTACAAGATATAAACCAATTTGGCACAGTAGCAGGATTTAAAATGAATAAAGACAAAACTAAAATATTGACTAAGAATTTCAACAGCAGACAGAGTGAACAACTAGAGGAGGAACTGGGAATCTCGAGAACAAAGAAAATTAAGTATTTGGGAATTTGGCTATCAGAAAAGTATACTACCATAAAGAGGGACAATTACGGTACACTCCTATTACAAATACAAAAAGATTTGGATAACTAGACTAAATTACCAATATCATTAATTGGCAGAATTTCAATGATAAAAATGAACATATTGCCCAAGATTCCAAACAGTACCAATAACATTAGGGAAAAATTTTTTTGAACAACTGAATAAATTGACATCGAAATTCATATGGTCAGGGAAAAAAAAACACACATTGAATTTAAATTATTGCAAGATAGTAGGAAAAAAGGAGGTTTCAGTTTACTAGAATGGGAACATTACTATCAAGCGGCATCCCTAACATGGCTCAAAGGTTGAATACAACTTAAAAATAAGCGGATATTAACAATAGAAGGCTATGACCTTCAACTCGGTTGGCATGTCTTTTTATGGGATGGGAAAAATAAATCACATACTTATTTTCAACATCATAAGGTAAGGGATGCACTACTGAAAGTATGGGAAAAGATTAAAAAGAATCATTATATGAAAGTCCCAGTTTGGTTGTCTACAATGGAAGCAATGATTCATCTGAATACCACAAACCTAGATAAAATGGTAAGATACACAGATTTATTAGACACAAAAGGAGAATTAAAATCAATACAAGATTTGAAAAGACAAGGAATAAATTTGGAATGGTGGCCATATTTACAAATCAAAACTAGATTTAAAAAAGATAAGAAACAATTTGGCATAAACAGGAAACAATTGGAATTAGATAAATTAATATTAGGATCGGGATTACAAATATCTATAATTACTTATTAGGATACAAATTGGAAGAAGAAACAGTAAAGGAAACGATGATAAGTTGGGCTAGGAATTTTGGACATAACATAGAATTGGATAAATGGGAAAAATTGTGGGAGAAAAATTATAAATTGACCATGGCAGTATCATACAAAGAAAACAGCTATAAAATGTTTTACAGGTGGCATTTAGCACCAGCAAGACTGGCAAAAATTTACCCCAATTTATCACCCCAATGTGGGGGATGGGGTCACAAACTAGGGACATACTACCACATGTGGTGGATGTGCCCTAAGGTGAGGAAATTTTGGTATAAAATTAAAGGGTGGTTGGAAGAGATTACACTCCGAAAGATAGATTTTAAAACAGATATCTTCCTCCTAGGAATAATTGATAGAAAAATGGAAAAAAGTCTCTATTATATTATATTGCATATTCTAACGGCAGCCAGAATTACTCTAGCGCAAATGTGGAAGTTGACAAATACACCATCAAAAGAAACAATAATAAAGAAAATCCTCGAATGCGCTGAAATGAATAAATTAACGATGGAGATCAAAGAAAGAGAAGACTCGGATTATTATAAAGTGTGGAATAGGTTTTATACATGATTGGAAAACAGAAATCAATTAAGAAATAAGAATATAAAGTGAAATTAGATATTAACATACTGGATATAAATGTAAATAATGATCCTGCTAACAAAACAGTTAATTATGAACATTTAAAAATAAAGAGAAGGAGCAGGAGGATAAAAGCTAAGAGTAAAGACAAAAGTCGATGCAGAAAGTTGTAAAATTGTATATATCTGTTGTTGGTATTGTATTTCAACGTCTGGTGTGCGTGTGTTTTTGCTTTTTGTTTTTGTCTCTTGATTTCTTTTGCTATTGTGTGTTTGGTTTTAAAATGTAAAATACTCAATAAAAATTATTTTATAAAAAAAAAAGAAATTCCCAAAGCAAACATATACACTAAGGGAAGTAGCTATGCTTAGTAGGAATCCGTGGTTTAGATGACAAAATGGACAGAACAAAAAGCATGTGACTAAAGAAATATTTTAGGCAGGCTTTATCAACTTGAACGATTCTGCATCATCAGGGAGGGTGGGGCAGTGGGCATGGCAGGGCCAGATGGTGTCTGGAAACAACTGCAGCCTGTGCAGGGGGTGGGGAGAGGCATGTGATCTGTCCCACCATCTGTCTTTGCTTGTGTGGAGTGTGCAATGGAAGTGGAGGAACAGGCTGAATGGCGGGGGCTGAGAATGCAGGGGTTATGCCTTAGCGCCATCCCCCGCCCCACCACTTGCTTTGCCTCATAGCAGCGGCACTGGCAGAGGCGCAGGTGGGGTGGGGGAGGTACGCAATCTGGCCTACCAGATGCGCCATGTGAACCCTCTGCCACTCTGTCTTTCCTTGCTTGCCCGTAGTTGTGGGCCAGATCACATGCCTTCCCCACTTACCCCCACACCTCTAGTTGTTGCTGGTGCCTCCACGAGGTGAGTGAAGCCAAGGGGCAGGGCAGGATGGAGCCATGGCCAAGCCTATGCATGTTTGGCCCCGTGGTCCAACCTAGTTCTCCAGCTCTGCCGCACACTCCGCAAGCAAAGGCAGGCAGTGGGATGGTGTCTGGACACGATGGGGCTTTTCAACCCTCACTTCAGAAGGAAGGAGAAGGAGGAAAGGGAGAGCAGTCGCTTGAGGGCTGCCTCTTTGCCAGCTGCTCCTCCCATCCCCTTTGAACCTTGGCCTCCCTCTTCAGAGGATGATAGAGGGCAAGGCTATGCTAAAGCACAGGAGAAACATTGGAGAGAAGCCGCACAGCGAAGGACAAGGGGCTCGACCACCTCTCCATGAGATTCTCAGGTGACACGGGGCCTAAGTGAATATGAGACCGGGCCTTATTTTCAGGTAAACAATTAGCGAAAGACTTTTGTTTTTAAAATACTAGTCTTAAAAATATTCCTAAAAAGAATCTCCAACCAAAAGCAGAGGGCAAAATGGCAGAAGACACTACATGTATTTCTCGACTAACAACAGTTTTTAGTTTTTAATGACTGTTCAAAGTTACACAGCAATGAAAAAATGACATGCCCATTTTTCACACTTACGACTACTACCTATGCTGTCCACATCAGTGGTGGTTTGCCCCCGGTTTGCACCGGTTCTATAAAACCGGTAGTAAAACCAGCAGGAGGCCCCGCCCACTGACCCCGACATAATCAAAACGCTTCTGCACAAGCGCAGAAGAGCACACACGCGTGTGAGTGAAGCAAGCATGCACGCGTGGCTCTGCTGCGAACTGGGAGTAAAGGTAAGTAGAACCCACCCCTGGTCCACATCCTCTGATTTCCTGAGGGAAATGGAAAATAAAAATCTAGTAAATGAATGTTCTTCTCTTACCTGAGTTGGAGGTTCAATCCTGGTTTCCAATCCCCCAAAACAAAGAGTCAACTTCCTTCTATTCTTCCCTGTGAGGGAGACAGAATTTCAAAAAGCATCATGAGTAAAATGGGAGGAGGAATGCTATAGAGGAGAGGACACCGAGAAAATAAAAAGTTAGGATTGATCAAAGGAGTGGAAGGACCTTATATTACCTCCTGAGGTGTCCTGAATTGGATCTCCCAGAGGGATTCCCCTGAAAAACAGTTCTTCAGGGAGATTTGACGGATGCCTCTTTCTCTCAGGATCTCTGATCTCCATTGCGAAGGACTTGAAATAGGAGAAAAGAATTAATGGACATCACATATCCACATATCAAAGTGGTTTCTTTTCCAGTGAACACCACTGCAAATCACTCAGTGTCGATCAATTAGGCTGGGAAGGAAGAAAGAAATCCCTGTGCAAAATCTTTCTTCTAGAATAGATAAGGGAACTACACAAAGATTAGTGAAGCATCTCCACATAGTATGAATTTCAGGATAGGCTGGTAAGAAGACATCAAAATTTGAATACATTGATCCAAAGGCAAAGATGTTTGTGTATAATATAATGCCTGAACAAGGGGAAGACATGTGGCTGAAGAGTTTAAAATTTGTATTAAATTATAATTTAAAATAAATCTTTTATAAAATGATGTATCCTTCTAGTTAGCACTGATAAACTACCAAAGATATATAAAAAATTTTCAAATACATGTTCAAATAAATACGTAAAAATAAAACATTGAAGCTGTAATGTTATTATTTTAGATGACTGCGCTAAAAAAAGTCAATGGTTTTCTTTCTTTCCCCCCTTTCCCCTACACTTCTTTCCCTTCCCTTCCCATCCACCATTTCCTACTATTTTCATTTTTTTGTATTTTATATCTTGATAAGTTTAATAAAACTATGAAAAAGGATTAAAAAATGTGAACTTCTTGTTTATTATATTCAACTTTTTCTGGAGTCCCAAGAGGAAGTCCTCTCACCTGCAACTCAACCTGCTCCTTCTTCTCCTCCGCCTGGCTCAGGAGGAAGCCTTCCACCAGGGCCACCGCCTGGGAGCTGGTCTCTGCTCCACACTCTCGTACCCAGCTCTCCATCTGCAGGGGCAGAAGCGCCAGGAACTGCTCCAAAACCACCAGGTCCAGCATCTGCGCTTTTGTGTGCTTTTCTGGTCTCAACCATCGACTACAAAAGTAGTGGAGTCGGCTGCAAAGTCCTCGGGGACCTTCATCCTCCCGATATTGGACGCTCCTGAAGTTCCAGGCGTGAACTTGTGAAACGATGGTTCCTTCTTCCAGCATCTTCTGCCCAGTTCTTGCCCAGATCTCCCCGTGGATTCCAGACTGAGCACCGGAAGGGCCTTTTCCAGTTCCCCCACTTGCTAAAGGACGGCTTGCCATTCTTTCTCTGTCCTAAAACACAATTCTAAATTAGTGCAAGGAAAGTTGTGTACCTCCAAATGCTTTTTCATTTCTTTAATGTATAAAGCTTTCTTAATCCTTTGTTCCTGGTTCTGGGCATTTTGACCAGGACCCAGAGGTGAAATCCAGCAGGTTCTGAGAGGTTCTCGAGAACCGGTAGCGGAAATTTTGAGTAGTTCAGAGAACAGCAAATACCACCTCTGGCTGGCCCCAGGAGTGGGTTGGGAATGGGGATTTTGTAGTATCCTTTCCCTGCCACGCCCACCAAGCCACGCCCACAGAGCCGGTAATTAAAAAAAATTGGATTTCACCACTGCCAGGAGCCCTTTTCCTTGGAGTGCTCCAATAAAGAGCAATAGGAAAACCTGCACTTCGTATCTGGCGTCCATCATTGGCTTCTGCACCAGGCTCAGACCCGAATTGGGGACAACAATCTGCCTCTCTTCCTTGCAAATATATTTCTTATTTCCGTCTTGAGATTTCCCATGCAAGCTCTCCCCCTACACAGGAGCCTTCACCAGGAAATGGGGTGCGAAGGACTCTCCAGGTTTCCCCCCCACTTTCGTTTCCGAGGATCTGGATTTATTCCCCAGGGCAGCATGCGTGGTCTCTGCTTTCCCCCATGCCTCTTACAACCACGGGAAAGGGGGGTTAGGAGGGAGGGAAACAGGGGGTCTCAGGAAGGGATCTCCCACTCCTCAAACCCCCTAAAACTGAACCTGGATGAGGACTAGGCAACACACACACACACACACACACACACACACACCTACCTTCTCCACCTCTGGTTTTTGTTTCTGCCTTTTTAAACTCCTGCAGAGCTCAAAGGGTTAAAGTGAGAGAGAGTCCAGTATCCTGGAAAGGCAAAAACTGAATGACGTCACTGCCGTCCCAACTTGTAAGGCCCAAAGCTGAAGTGCCCCCCCTGGTGGATTTTCTGTGCATGAAAGGTGCTCATGCAAAGAGTGGAGAAATGGTGGCCAGGAAGGGGCTCCTTGACTGGGAAGCTTTTGGCAATGTTCTACTTTAGTAAAGAGCATTCTATTTAAAGTAGTGGTATTAGGAAAAAAAAAACATTCCCTAACAAGAATCTCATTTAAATCTGTTGCTGAGGAAGAAAGAAATAAGTCAACTGAAACAAGAAGGAAAAATGAAAGGTGACTGTACTATGTACCCCAGCTTGACTTTCTGAAGAAAAGAGAGAATACAAATCTAATAAAATTCCTGAGTTGGAATTTTGACCATTATTTCAGCTCTACCATCAGGAAAAAATAACTTCTTTCTACTCTTCCCTGTGAGAGAGATTTACCAACAAAGGTTTTGGGCTCAATTCTGGTCATAACTCAAGGACTACCTAAAATACGTCGATCAGGTGATTTCTTGAGGGAAAGGGAAAATGCAAATCTAGTAAATGAATGTTCGTCTCTTACCTGAGTTGGGGATTCAGTCACAGGTCCTGCTCCCCCAAAAGAAAGCGTCAGCTGGATGTGAGCCCGCACCTCCAATGAGCTGCGCTTAGCCCCGACCCACCTGCACAATACTTGTGCACCTCGGGACTCCACACTCCTGTCACCTGCCTCACCTCGCCGCACGATGGTGGCACTGGAAGCAGCAGCCCCTGTCCAGAAGCAGCCCTGCCACCCATCCACTCTCCTCCAGCCAGGGAAGGCCACGAGCCAGGAGGGGAAGCTGTGGCCATAGCCCTTTTGGCAAAGCAGACACCAGCATCCATGAGCCTCGCCCTCCTGTACCCACCATGAGCAACCAGGCCAAGGAGAGCAAGCACAGTAGCAGCAGCCTCGAGGACGAGGTAAGCAGGGCTGGGCTGAGTTGTGGGCTCCCGATGCCCAGGGAGCTTGAGGTCCGGGCTCTTGCCCTCTGCTTGCAGGAGCTCTGGATAGCCTGCACCACCATCCAGGGGTCCTCGGTGTGGCCTGAGAGGGACGGCGAGGAAAAGGCTGTGGCACTCACCCTGGTCTCATCTTCCTCCGCTGGAGACCTCCAGATCCCACCTGGCCTGGCCTGTCACAGGTTCCCTTTTTTGGCTTTTTCTTCCCACCACCCAGGGGGCTTGGAGAGGTAGAAGCAGCCAATATGGAGTTTGCATGGTGCCCTCCAGATGTGTCTCCCCTGAATATCTCTGGAGAGGAGGACGGGGTGGCAGAGGAGCTGCATGAGGGAAGGCTGCCCCAACAAGCCAGCATCCTTAACGCACAATATTGGAAACAGGAATTCCCTTTCAAGAAGGGCCAGACTCAGGGATTCAGCCAGTTCCCACCACTTCGGGAGAACCGGTTGTTAACTTTCTGAGCAGTTTGGTGAACTGGTTGTTGGAAGAAATCATTAGGGCAGAGAACTGGTTGTTAAATTATTTGAATCCCATCACTGGCCAGACTCCCTCGTGGAGGACCAGGGAATGATGCTCCTCTTGCTCTTCCGAGATCTGTCAAGGCAGAAGTTGGATACTGCAGCTCCACAGGCACCGTCCCCCTCTGCCTCCTGCTTTGCCTGGCCAGCCTCCCCCATGTAGCTTGTCATGCCACATCATGTAACTTTATATACTGTTGTTGTTCTCTTGCCCCATTTAGTGGCCGGAGGGACAAACATTCCCCAAGTATATTGTTTGAAGCAGATCCTACCCATTTACCCATCTGCCTGAGCTCTCAAACCAAGTGCACACTTGGAAGGCACACTCCATTTCCTTTAGCATTTGGAGAAGGCAGAAGCAGCCATCTTAATCCGTGGCACATGATCATCCAAGGACAAACCCACATCCCACACACAGAGCATCGCTGCCAGATTAAAATTGCTAGTAGTTATTGTTACAGATGAAAATACCTAACCTGATATCTGTAAATATGTGTGCTTGTTTATATGTCATTGTGTGATGTCATTGTGTCACTTACCATTGGTTAGTACTTACCATTAGCCCCGCCTTCTCTGTATATAAGTTCTTGCTCCTCCCAGATTAGTGCCTGTCTAATTGTGTTCCTGAGGAAGAAAAGAAATAAATATTACTATTACAAGAAAGCCTACAGTCTCTTATATATGGGCCTAACCAGGATAACCAAACTAGCAACAAATTGGTAGCAGAGGATGGTTTGGTAGGCCCAACCGAACATAAAGATGCAAGACTCACATAACGACAAAAGAAGACCTGCCACCAGATACATAACGAAAAGAATGGCAGCTCAACTAACTCCTGACAAATATACACCACTTGAAAATATTAAGAAACAAACGCAATTACAAGAAAATGAACTGCTAACACCAAACAAAGAAGATGAGGTAAAAAGAAAAATACTAGAATTAATAGAAACAACTACAGCTGAATCAAATCTGCTTGTGAAAATCCGCAGCATAATAAACGACCACGGAACAGCAGCAGATAACGAAAATAACAAACAAGAAAACTGCAAGGTAAGAAATTCAACCCCTGACTTCAAAAATGACACCAAAGATGGCGACAGCTTCCCGCCTTTTTCATGGCAGCCATCTTACCCACCTAATACCTCTAAAATGCCTGACCAATTACTAAAAGAATTCCAAACCTCAAACTACGAAATAAAAAACAAAACCTACCAAGAAGATAATTACCCGAGTCCAAAAACAAATAAAAAACAATTATTTAAACAAAACAAAGCTCAACCTACTGAAGTAGAAATAGACAATGCTATACAGGTGCTAACTGCAGCACTCGGGACTAAACTAACAATACCAAACAAACAACCAGAAAATGAAATAGAAAATTCTAAACTACCATCTACCAAAGGCCAAAAAGAAATAGACTGTCTAAAGAAAGGCCTAGCCACCCGAAGAAAGACAAGCTGGCAATCATACTTACCTACTGAAGAGCAGCTCCCTGAACAACCCGGCTCCATTGGCAATGGCGGCCCGCCTCAAGCTCCACTTACTGACGACCTCAGAGAAGACTCCCCGATGAGCAGAGCAGCACCCCAGGCATTCTTCAGTCACCAGAGGCCCTCCGGAAACAAAGCAGAGCAACAGAAGGCCGTCTGGGACTTCACCCCAGGAGCTGCAGACACAGGAACCTCCCTCATCGACTGCTGGAGAAAAATGAGGACTGAGCATGCCCAGAACGAGCCTGCAAAGAAAGAAGAAGGAAACATAAATACAAGTCAGCGCAACATAGAGATAAGTAAATACAGACATACATCTACCATACCCAGGCCTTATTGTGAGTATGCTAAGGTCTTAAATCATGGACAGCTACTAAACATGAATAACACCTCACTACACTCAGGGACAATACCTCCAGACTTTATAAAATTGAAATTAGATGGAAGCAACTTAATGGAATGGGATCAGTGTTTACAGATTGTATATATGAAAGAAAATGTTTTATTTTTTATTGATAACCCACCAAATAAGCCTTGGACCTATGAAATAGACTGCCTCCACCACAAAGCATACTATATGTTAATTGTTTCTATTTCCCCAAGTATACTCCCCAGTATAGAGCATAATTTAACTGTATTTGAAGTATATCAAAAATTATTCAGACTGTTCTATAGCAAAAATGTAGCCACTACCACAAAAATCTCTAGGGAATTCTATTCTGCCAAACTAAAACATGATACATCCATGAGTGAGCATATCTTGAATTTAAACGCTGTAAGAGCAGACCTTATTCAAAGGGGAGAAACCATTTCTGACAACACCATGAAAAGCATTATAATTAACTCACTAGATCACAGCTGGGATAACTACATTACACTAATAGATAACCTAAGTATAGAGCAAATTACTTTAGAAAACCTTACCAATAAGCTTATTACTGAAGATAGACTTAGAAGAGAGCGATATACACAACAAAGAGAAGGTAGAAATCAAAGAAGGACTGATTTCAGGGCCAGAGACAGATACCCACATGAATGTCTCACATGTGGATCTGAAAGACATCAGAGTAGAGACTGTCCCAAGAATATAGGATACAGTGACTCATATAAACACAAGGATAGAAGAATACACTTTTTAGACAGAACCTCCCCAGATTACAGGTATAAGAGAAGAGAATCACCACACTCTAGAGAAAGACAAACATACAGAAATAACCCTAGAGAAAATAAGAAAGGATCACTATATGGAATAAGAAATAATAACACTTTGATATCTGATTCACTCAACACCTGGCTCATAGATTCAGGAGCCACATGCCATACAACTCATAATAGAGAAATATTAAGTAACTTCACTGAAAAGAAATATTATATTAAAGTAGCAAACCAAAATAGAGTCCTAGTGAGAGGAATAGGAGACACGCATATAAAAGGTATAGGAAAAATAGAGGGGGTACTATTTGTGCCCGAAATTCCAAATAACATATTGGCAACCCTAAAGTTAAGCTTAGACAATGCAATAGAAACCACTTTCAGAGGTGGAAAGGTATTCATGACTAAGAACAACAGAAACATAGGTAAACTATTTACAAATGATGGACTAACATACCTACTGCCACAAGATAACGAACTAGTCTATGCAAACTATCAATTAAGAAACAAAAAACCAAATTCAGATAGCCATGATGAAAATAATGATAAGAATGCATCAAACACTGATACTAATATGTCTGAAAATTTAAACAATGGAAAACCTATTCACGATAATTGTAGTCACTTACTCCACAGAAAGCTAGGACACGCGAGCTTTCCAGTCATACGAAAAATGTTAGAGTGTTCCGAAGATTTAAAAATAAAGAACTGTAAAAATTACTTAGAATGCTCTGTATGCAATTCTTCCAAAATTAAAAACAAGCCAAAACCCAAAAAAGCCACCCGCACCACACAATCAACCTTTCAACTAATTCATATGGATGTAGTAGGCCCATTAAAACCTTCAATTAAATACAAAAAAAGATACTTCCTGACCATAGTCGATGACTATAGTAGATTTGGTTTTGTATACACCCTTAACCACAAAAGTGAGGTTTTCAAAAAATTTAAGGAGTTCTTTAAAATGGTAGAAACACAATACAATACCAAAATCAAACAAATAATGACTGACAGGGGGTCGGAATTCCTATCCAACGAATTTTCAATTTGGCTAAAATCACAAGGAATATTGCACTTTAAATCTTGTCCATTTTCCCCATTCCAAAATGGAGTCTCTGAAAGGAAGAATGGTTTGCTACAAACCATGGTTAAATGTGTGTTAGATGATGCTGGTTTAAACCAGTCATTCTGGGCTGAAGCCCTTAATTATTCCAATTACACTATAAATCGCTTATGGTCCAGTACAATCAATAAGACCCCATACGAACTCATGTATGGAAGGAAACCAAAAATTGGGCATTTACACGTATTTGGTGTATCTGCTGATGTATATGTGCCCTCACAGTTAAGACGCAAAGGAGAGAAAGTATCCAAAAGACTGATATTTATGGGGTACGAATCAGGAACCAAGGGATATCGCTTCATTGATAAAAATAATCACTTCATTGTATCCAGATCTGCCGTGTTTCATGAACACATGAACTGGTCAAAATTACATCTCAATGAAATTTACCCAGAATCAAAAAATATTACACACACGCACGCAAAACATCACACATCAGATACGAACCCCAAATCCACATCTACTAACAGAATCAAATGCCCAGTAATAGTTAATGATGAATGGAAAAAAGGACACCCCACTTTGAAAGTAGATCAATTAACCGAAAAAGAAGCTAAGTATATGCATAGCAATGAACATCCCCAGAATAGGCCCATTAGATCCAATAGGGGCATAATTCCTAAAAGATTAGATGATTACGTACTGTCTATCCAAGCTAAACACCTGACTCCTAACACATATGATGACATACTTAAGCTACCCCTAAAAGAAAAAAGTAAGTGGGAGGAAGCAATGAAAAAAGAGATGGACAGTTTGAGAGAACTAAATGTATATACACCAACAGACCTGCCCACTGAGAAATCCCCTATTGGCACTAGGTGGATATATAAAATCAAGGAGCTAGAGGATGGTAAATTCCTATACAAAGCCAGGTTGGTGGCTCAAGGCTTTGCCCAAAGATTTCCGGATGACTATGAAGACACTTATTCCCCAACCGTTAGATCAGAAAGCGTGAAAACAGCACTAGTGTTAGCTTCTATCTTAAATCTGGAAGTATATCAATTTGACGTGCAGACAGCCTATCTGCACGCTGATCTAGATAAAGAAATTTATGTGAAAGCACCCCCAGGAAAGGATACAAAAAAGGGAGAAATTTGGCTATTAAACAAGAGCCTTTATGGACTAAAACAGTCCGGTAAGCGGTGGTATGAGTGCTTATCAAAGATACTTAAAAATATGGGTTTTGTAGCTACTTCATCTGATTTTTGTTTTTTCACAAAAAAAAATAATGATTCTATTGAATATGTTTTGATTTATGTTGATGATATATTGTATTTTGGACACGACAAAATTAAATGTGATAATTTCGCTGAACAACTAGGCAAAAATTTCAACTTAAAAATATTAGGAAAGGTAAATAAGTATCTAGGAGTCCAAATTGACAAAACAGATAAGGGGTTCAAATTATCTCAGAAAGACAAGATTATGGAACTCATACAAAAATGTAATTTAATTAATTCAAAAATTTGTGATACTCCTATGTCAACTGATTTTTATAGGAATGTGTATAATGAGTACGAACCATTCAAGGATAACACGTTATATCGATCAATTATTGGGTCCTTATTATACATATCTAATTGGACCAGGCCTGATATCACCCTTGCTGTAAATTTGTTGTCAAGACATGTAAGCAATCCTAACTCATACCACTGGGAAGGAATTAAGAGGATTCTAAAATATCTAAAGTCTAGCATTGATATGTGCTTATTCTTAGAACCATTCATTTCTGAAAAACCAACTTTGACCTGCTACGCTGATGCTGATTGGGCTACTGATTCAAAAACCAGAAAAAGTACTTCTGGATATGTTTTTCTTATAAATGGCTGTGCGGTGCACTGGTACACAGGCAAACAGAATTTAATTGCCACTTCCACAGCGGAAGCCGAATATGTTTGTTTATCCAAAGCGGTCAACAATCTAACTTGGTTCGATGACTTGTTAACCAATGTGTGGGATGAACCTGTTTATCCAATTATTATCAATGAGGACAATAAGGCAGCAATTGATATATCAGCTTCCGAAGCAATAGGTCAACGATCTCGACATATCGATATAAAATATAAACATGTAAGACAACTGTCAAGTATAGGATTTATTAAAGCTATCCATTGCAATACTAGTGAACAAATTGCTGATATCCTCACTAAGCCATTGCCAACCAAACAACATATGTATTTGACTTCCAAACTTGATGTGCATATATAATCTTAATAACCCACCATTAGTTAGGTATTTTAGAGGGGGATTTGTTACAGATGAAAATACCTAACCTGATATCTGTAAATATGTGTGCTTGTTTATATGTCATTGTGTGATGTCATTGTGTCACTTACCATTGGTTAGTACTTACCATTAGCCCCGCCTTCTCTGTATATAAGTTCTTGCTCCTCCCAGATTAGTGCCTGTCTAATTGTGTTCCTGAGGAAGAAAAGAAATAAATATTACTATTACAAGAAAGCCTACAGTCTCTTATATATGGGCCTAACCAGGATAACCAAACTAGCAACAGTTATTCATTGTTATGTTCAGCAGTAACTGAATACGGTCTCTCTTGTATTTCAGTTCTCATTGTATGTATTCCTATTTTCCCCAGTTTTACCATATCCTGTTCTTTCAACAAAGCATTCAGATCTACGCACACGGTCCGTTTTATTGGGGGATAGGTGGGTATAGCTGCATGTCGAGCTGCACACAGACTAATGTATAGAGGAGACAGAATTTAGCTCCCCCACCACCCCCACTTCCTCTCCAGAGATCTGTCAAGGCAGAAGTTGGACTCAGAGGAAACTGCTTCCTGCAAACTTTCTCCTCCACGCTTCCACATGCAGCAGTGTTATCCACCGCCTCCAGCTTTGCCGAGAGAGGGCACTGGACAGGGAAATGCCAAAGATGTCTGGGATTTGGAGAAGAAGATCTCCTTTGACGTGCTGTGCACATGCACCCCCCCCCACACTATTCCAAGCT